ATAATGATGATAATGATACTAATAATGATGATAATTATACTAATAATGATGATAATGATACTAATAATGATGATAATGATACTAATAATGATGATAATGATACTAATAATGATGATAATGATACTAATAATGATGATAATTATAATAATAATGATGATAATGATACTGATAATGATGATAATGATACTAATAATGATGATAATTATAATAATAAAGATGATAATGATACTAATAATGATGATAATTATAATAATAATGATGATAATTATAATAATAATGATGATAATGATACTAATAATGATGATAACTACAATAATAATGATGATAATGATACTAATAATGATGATAATGATACTAATAATGATGATAATTACAATAATAATGATGATAATGATACTAATAATGATGATAATGATACTAATAATGATGATAATTATAATAATAATGATGATAATGATACTAATAATGATGATAATGATACTAATAATGATGATAATTATAATAATAATGATGATAATGATACTAATAATGATGATAATTATACTAATGATGATGATAATTATAATAATAATGATGATAATGATACTAATAATGATAATGACAATTAGGATGACAGCGATGACCATGAAAATAATGAAAATATAATTAACAACTCAATTGATAATCATCATTGATAAACAGATTCCAGTTTTATGGTGTGTAATAACTTCTCTTTAGTACTACATATGTTACTATAGAATTAGTTTAAAAAAATACGCATGTGTTTATATCTTGCGTTTTAATTATAACTCTCCTTATAGTTACTTTCCCTTGAACTGTGTAATTTATTTATTTTGCATTTTAACCCATTCACGCCGGGTGTCCCGTATACGTGACGGGCCCACTTTGAGTTTACTTGTTTGATTGTTTACAAACATAGATGGCTCCACTTGCACTTGTACTGCCTGTCTCGTCTGTTTACCCTTTTCTTTAATTTACGAAATTATTTTGCGTTATCTTATTTTGCTGTTACTAATGTTTATAACATTATAGTAATTATAAAGTTTATAATGAAAATAAGCATCGATATTCATAGCACTAGTAAAAATACAGTTTCCCGCCAAATGAAGTCAGGTAAAGCAGAGCCATCTAGTGTAGAGAAATTTCATTAAAAAATATGAAAAATGAGCACAGCATTTTCCCCATTTTTTGTTCATTTTTACCCGGCGCGAATGGGTTAAGGGGTTCTCGCGTTTATAGTTGCTATCCCTTGGAATGTTATCATAGACGGGAGTTTCTGATTTTTGAGACTGTGGGTTGTGTTTGAATGTGCTTTGATGTGAGGTGTGATTGTGGGGAGAAATTTGTGATTAAGGAGGTTTGGAATAATAATCTCTCTCTCTCTCTCTCTTTCTCTATCCCTTTCTCTCTCTCTCTCATTTTCCTTCTCTCTCTCTCTCTCTCTCTCTCTCTCTCTCTCTCTCTCTCTCTCTCTCTCTCTCTTCTCTCTCTCTCTCTCTCTCTCTCTCTCTCTCTCTTTCCTTCTCTCTCTCTCTCTCTCATTTTCCTTTTTTCTCTCTCTCTCTCTCTCTCTCTCTCTCTCTCTCTCTCTCTCTCTCTCTCTCTCTTTCCTTCTCTCTCTCTCTCTCATTTTCCTTTTCTCTCTCTCTCTCTCTCTCTCTCTCTCTCTCTCTCTCTCTCTCTCTCTCTCTCTCTCTCTCTCTCTCTCTCTCTCTCCTCTCTCTCTCTCTCTCTCTCTCTCTCTCTCTCTTCCTTCTCTCTCTCTCTCTCATTTTCCTTCTCTCTCTCTCTCTCTCTCTCTCTCTCTCTCTCTCTCTCTCTCTCTCTCTCTCTCTCTCTCTCTCTCTCTCTCTCTTCTCTCTCTCTCTCTCTCTCTCTCTCTCTCTCTCTCTCTCTCTTCCTTCTCTCTCTCTCTCTCATTTTCCTTTTCTCTCTCTCTCTCTCTCTCTCTCTCTCTCTCTCTCTCTCTCTCTCTCTCTCTCTCTCTCTCATTTTCCTTCTCTCTCTCTCTCTCTCTCTCTCTCTCTCTCTCTCTCTCTCTCTCTCTCTCATTTTCCTTTTCTCTCTCTCTCTCTCTCTCTCTCTCTCTCTCTCTCTCTCTCTCTCTCTCTCTCTCTCTCTCTCTCTCTCCTCTCTCTCTCTCTCCTCTCTCTCTCTCTCCTCTCCCTCCTCTCTCCCCTCCCTCCTCCCTCCCTCCTTCCCTCCCCCTCCCTCTCTCCTCCCCCCCCCCCTCTCTTTGTTTACAAATACCAGCGTCCTTGCAAAGATCACGTGCTCTGTCTCCTCTTCATTCATCGAGATCATTTTCCTTCTTAAACTACGGGATTCTTTACTCTCTGTTTATGTTTCATCCTCCCTGATGTTCGTGAAACTTTCGTGATGATTTTAATAGTAATATCAATAATAGCGATAATGATGATGATAAGAATCATTATTATTGCTATTATTATTGATATTATTATCATCAACACCATTATTATAATTATAATTGTCATCTTTATTATTGCAATAACGATAATGACAACAATAATAATAATGTTAACAATAATGTAAATAATAATGATTATAATAATAATGGCAATGATAATAACAGTAACAATAATGATAATAACTATAATAATTGCAATAAAAATAGTAGTTGTAATGATGATGAATAATAATAACACATACTGATAATATGACTTATGATTATAATGATAAAGATGATAATGATGATAATAATGATGATGATGATGATAACAACATTGTAATAAAACATTAAGTATCATTATCGCTATTATTATCATCTTTATTTTTATCATTATTTCAACTACTATCATCGTTATTAATATCATTATCATAATTACAATCACCTAATATTATTGTTATTACTATTGTTACTATTATCATTAATATCATTAATATTATCATTATTATTGTTATTCTTATTATCATCATTATTATCATTACTATCATCTTTATTATTATTATTATTATTAATTATTATTATTATTATTATTATTATTATTATTATTATTATTATCATTATCATTATTATTATTATCATTACTAACGTTTTTCCTAATATTCATAATCATCATTACCATTATCATGAGCATTATGAAATTCCTTTCCTTGAATTACGGAGGACACCCAGAGCGAAATCGATTGCCTTGGCCTCGTCTTTCGATTCCATTCACCCAAATATAGATTCATTTAAATTATTTGAATTTATCTTATGATATAAAACTTGCAAAGACTACACTTACCATGCAGCGCAGTAATCGGCTTGTGTGTGTGTGTGTGTGTGTGTGTGAGAGAGAGAGAGAGAGAGAGAGAGAGAGAGAGAGAGAGAGAGAGAGAGAGAGAGAGAGAGGGAGAGAGAGAGAGAGAGAGAGAGAGAGAGAGAGAGAGAGAGAGAGAGAGAGAGAGAGGGAGAGAGAGAGAGAGAGAAAGAGAGAGAGAGAGAGAGAGAGAGAGAGAGAGAGAGAGAGAGAGAGAGAGAGAGAGAGAGAGAGAAAGAGAGGGAGGGAGAGAGAGAGAGAGACGAACACACACACACACACACACACACACACACACACACACACACACACACACACACACACACACACACACACACACACACACACACACACACAGAGTGAGTGAGAGAGAAAGAGAGAGAGAGAGAGAGAGAGAGAGAGAGAGAGAGAGAGAGAGAGAGAGAGAGAGAGAGAGAGAGAGAGAGAGAGAGAGAGAGAGAGAGAGAGAGACGTTGATAAAAAGGACAAAGGAAGGTGTATCAATAGGGAATTGAACAGTAAGAACGATATACATATAGATAAAGAGGTTAAAATAACATGATATAGTATATATAATGGATTTACAATATTCAAGACATATGAAATATTTTTCGTATAACTATAATACGGATAATCATATTATCATTACGCCGATGAACCCAGTCATAGCAGAAATAACAATAATAATAATAATAGGAATATTACTAGTTGATGTGGTATTAATATTGATGATGATGGTTGTGATGATGATGATAATGATGATAGTGATAATGATAATGATGATGATGATGATAATAATAATAATAATGATAAAAGTAATAATAATAGTAATAATGATAATAATAATAAAAATAACACTGGCAATAACAGTGATAATAGTAATAATAGCAGTAATAGTAATAATAATAGTAATAATTATTAACAATAATAATGATAATTAGCATAATGATAATGATAATAATGATGATAAGAAATAATAACAACAATGGTAATGATATTAATGATAATGATAATACAAAATAACAACAATTATAATGATATTGCTAATTAACATAATGATAATAGAATGATAACGACAAAAGAACGTCAATGATAACATTAATGGTAACCCCTAGTAACTCTAACGCCAGGAAAGCAACCGAGTCCGCACAAAACCAAAAAACAACAGCAACGTGAAATAAACCTCGAATTAAAACACTCGGTGAAAATATTCCAAGAACAACCTGACCGCAAACCAGTTTCTCTCCGAACTGCCTCTTCACACTCCTCCTCTGGACGAGCGAGCCAGTCGTAGCAGGTCAAAGGGAAGGCCTAAGGACGGAAATGTGGGATTGTTGGTGCGATGCGATGGGGAGGTTCTGCGGGGTGCGAGGGATGTATTTTTATTCAGGGGGGTGAGGGGGAGAAGGGGGAGAGGGGGGTGTAATTTTAAGATTGTTTGGGAAAGATATGTTGGGTTTGGTGGTATGACGGGGAGGGGAGGGGTTGAGAGGGGAAGGGGGGGAGGTTGTTGTACGTCTGGCACCGTTGTGTTGGTAATGCACAAGCAAAAACGGTTTCGTTTTTTTTTCTTCTTCTTCTCGCTTTCGTCCGTCGAGCGTGATGGTAAACAAGGCCGTTCGTCCAAGCATAAGCTGATAAGGACTTATAAGCCCCAATGAAATCGCGAATGACTTTCCAAATCGATGGGAAGATAGGATTCTGATAAAGAGGAGAGCCCGTTTCTGGAACTCTGGAATGCTCGGCAGCCCAGCTCCTCCTCCCGCCCTCTGCCGCTGGCACGCCGCCCTCTACCGCGAGTTGCCATTGGTGCAGGGCCGGAAAATGCCCGTTCTGATTGGCTCCCGGGCACCTCTGGGCACCGCGCGTGAGGGGGAGCCACACACTTGTCGAGTTGAGATCACCGACTCATCGGCCGCCGCACTTGTGGCTTTCCTCGCGCTCGGAGAAGAGGCAGTTCCCGTGGCGTCCGCTCTCGCACCCCCGTCGTCGTCCCGCTCCCTCTCGACCATGAAGGCCCAGGCTGGCGAATCCGCAATGAGCTCCCTCCCCCCCATCAGGAGCGGCAAGGTCTCCAAGGCCCGCGAGGACGACCCCGAGGTCACCTTCTACCTGGACAAGCTGCGGCACCTCCTGCCGGCGGCCAACACCAGGAAGCCCTTGGAGAAGAAGCTCAACCGACTCGAGGTGATCTGGAACGTGATCCAGTACATCAGCGAGCTCCAGGAGGTGCTCCAGATGGACGTCCACGACCGCGAGATGGACCTGCTGGAGTACGAGACCAAGAGCATCACCCTGGCGGCGTGAGTCCTCCGGAAGGGAGCCCAGAAGAAGGAGGAGGAGAAGGAGGAGAAGGAGGAGGAGGAGGAGGAGGAGGAGGAGCAGGAGGAGCGAGTCACCAGCGCCAGCACGGTCGCTCCGGTGCGTAACCTTCCGCGCACCTGTCGCCCGACCTCGGCGCCGCGACAGGAAGAGAGAGGGCCTCCGCGACCGCCCTTCGGCACGACCTTTCCAGGAAGACAAGTGTCTTGCGTGTGTCGTGTTGCGGGGGGAGGATGTCGTGGGGATATGATCTCCTTATTATCTCTCTCTCTCTCTCTTTCTCTTTGCCACTCCTGCAAAACAATAGATAGCATGGACGCATTACGAGTTAATCACCGGTCGCGGCTGTGGTAGTGTGGTGAACTCCGGCAAAGTTCCTATTTATGTGAAAAGAAAACACACAAAAAAAAAGAAACAACATGAAACGATTTGGTGTTTCGTCCAGTGAAAGTGTGGTCAGACGCAGAGGAGAAAAGGTGGGAGTGAGTTTCCGCTGTTGGACGTGACGGAAGAGAGTCAGTTTCGCAGTTATTCGTGGATTAATACCTTCGAGGACAAGGGAAGCCGTCTTGGTCACCGCAGAGACAGACGTTCCAGTTCAGCGTCGCCGCAGCATAACTACAGGTGAGTCGGAGGCGATTTGCGTTGAAGACCAGACGAAGGTTTTGCCTTAGGAAGGAAATATAAAGATTATAAAGAAATAATAAACACAATAAACACATGGAATATAAAGACTAAAAAAAATTAAACATCAAATAAAAAACTTAATTTCTTTGTGAGTTCTGCTGATTAAAAAAAAGTGATCGAATTATAAAAGACCTCATATATACCCACTAAGAATTAGTTTTGTAAAAAGAAGATAGATAGAAAAAAATACAAAACTAACAGAAAACGCAAACAAAATATTTCAGTCTTTACACAACAGAAAAATTAAAGATACAGACAGTTAATCCTGGATTCATCGATGACTTTACATAAATTATAAGAATGTTTAAGAAAATATGATATAAGATATAAGATATAATAAAAGACAGACTTTACCGAGCATAATCATTTTGCAATCATATAGGGGCCCTCAAGTTGCAATAATAAAAGTGTCAAAGTCGAATTTAGGTCTGATAGATGTCTGAATCTCTGTCTGTCTGTATGTTTATTCATCTATTTATCAATCTGCCTGTCTTATTGTCCATGTGTTTATCTATATATATGTATTAACTACCTATATCTTTAGCATATGTGTATCTATATCTATGTAATATCTACCTGTATCTATATCATATGTTTATCTATCTATTTATATATCAATATCTATATCTGTATCTTTTTCTCTCGCTTATTTTTTTTTTTTATATTTACCTCAATAAATCGACCTGTCTATGAACTTATATCTATCTGACTTTTCATCGAGTATCTGTCTATCTGTGTACGTGCGTGCGTGCATGTGCATATACGCGAGAGAGTGTGAATATAAATGTGTGTGCTTGCTAATGTGATTATTAGTGTGTGTAAGTAAGCATGTGTGTCTGTCTGTATGCATGTTTGTACCAATGATCGTAATGATACTCAATAATGAAAAAAAAAAACGATAGGTATTTAGATTACCTTTTCCATGAAAACCACCTTCAGACAAAAATCCTTTTCCGAACGTCTATAGAACGAAAACATCGAAAATAAACTGCATAAACGAAAAGACTAATCGGCATTCGATTCCCTTTGTCTCCTCGTCTATAGCGAGCAAGAGATTAGATCCATTAAGTTTCACGCCGTCACCTTTCTTTCGACTTAAATGGTCAGGAAAAAGATCGCAAGCATAAATCATGTTGCAGCATTGCACATCCGTTGAGAAAATGAAGCTCTTTAGGACCCATGCCGACACAGGGCTCCGTGGCGGGATTCATAACGAGAGCCTAACACCATTAGAGGAATATAGATGAGTCTTTATGTGTACTAGATATGGTCTTCGTAAGCTGTGTGGTTTATCTTGGTATGCGTGTGAGAAATGCCTTGTCTCATTTCCAAGATGTGCTGATGGAGATTCTTAGAAAAATGGAAGGTGGAAGACTCTTATTTTATTTTATTTTATATTTCTTTTCTTTTCTTTTCTTTTCTTTTATTTTGTTGTTTTAATGTGTAGGGTATTTGGTTATAAGTAAGAAACCCGGACCTGAACGTAATGTAAGAATCGCTATGCATGGCTTGTTTGGACTCCCTGTACTTACATATTTATAAGTGACATAAGTAATCCAAGTCCTTTTATATCAGGTTCCGATCATCCCCCACCCCCCTAACTCTTTTTTCTCCCAGGCTTTTTTTTTTTGAATCGACAGTCATTTTAAATCAATTTCTCAACAGGGTAGAATAGAGTGGCATTTTTTTTTCTCCCTCTTCATGAATCACTGTTTTATTCTCCTGTTGCTCTTTGCAGATGCAGAAGGATCTCGAGACTAAGTAACCTGAGCTGCCCGTGGGGACATCCTACAATCCCCCCTCCCCCCCTCCCCCCCGCACACACTCCTATGTCCCCTCATCTCCTACTCGTCCTCCTCCTTCGATCCCTCTCCTCCTCTTCCCTCCTCCTCCTCCTCTTCCCTCCTCCTCCTCCTCCTCCTCTTCCCTCCTCCTCCCCCTCCCTCTCTCTCTCGCGCTCCCCGACCCCCGCCTCCTCCCCCGCCTCCTCCCCCCCCCCCCACGCCCGCGGCACAGGTCACCCTCCTGCGCTGGCGACAGGTGCAGCGGCGGTGGGCGGGTGGGCGGGCGGGGGGGGGGGGGTGAGAGAGGAGGCGAGGCAAGGCCAGTTACACCCGCTTCGTAAGGAGGTCTTCCTGGTGTGGACGGCGTAGGAGGAAGAGGAGGAGGAGAAGAAGAAGAAGAAGGCTAAAGAAGAGGAGAAGGCGAAGAGGATGGAAGAAATGGAGAAGATGGAGAACGAAGTGGATAAGAAGATGAAGGAAGTGGAGGAAGAGGCGGAGAAGAGGAGAGGGAAGGAGGAAGAAGAGGGACAAACGGAGAAGAGGGAAAGGGAAGGGGGGGAGGGGTCAGTGAAGAAAAAGAGGCATGGAGCAGAATATGGAAGGAGGGGAAGAGAGAAATGTGCGGAAGGAGGAGGAGGAGCTAGAGAGTGAGATTGAAGAAGAAGAAGAAGAAGAAGAAGAAGAAGAAGAAGGAAGAAGGAAGGAGGAGGAGGATGATAAATCAGCTATGGTCTCGAGAACAAACTGGAAGGTCTTAAGGTGACCAAAGACAAACAAAAAAATAAAGTTATTATTATCATTCTTCTTATGATTTTATTCTTATACTGGTATTGCTATAATAACAATAATATAAGAATAAACATAAAAATAACAATAATAATAATAATGATAATAACAATAATAATAATAATAATAATAATAACTATTATTATTATCATTATTCTAGTTTCTTTGTGATCAATAGATAGTGCTTCCTTGAAAGAAAAAAGTCGAGAGGAAAGTGATATAGACATTTACAAAGATCTGTTATCAATTCTCGAAGATAAATGTGCACAGAGAAAGACATACGATAAAGAGAAGAGAAGGCGAATGAGAGAAAACACACAGATAAGAGTGAGAGAAAGAAAGAAAAGGCCATTTGGTTAAAAAAAATATAAAAAATAGCCCAACGAAACGGGAGGAAAAAAATATAAAAAAACTGGATCGAAACAAGAAGAAAACGTAAAAAAAAAATACGAGAGAATAAAGAAAACGGAACATCACGAAAAAGAAAACGAAATTACGGTGCTAAAGATTCGAAAACGGAAGGTGCTACTTACGCCCATTAGGTTAATATCTTCTTTTTTTTTTCCTTTTTTTTTATTTTGTTTGCATATACTTGTCCCTTTTCTTATGTCTAGTTTTTGTTTCCTTTTTTTTGTTTGCATATACTTGTCCCTTTTCTTATGTCTATTTTTTTTTTTTACTACTAACGCTGCTATCTTTACGCCTGTTGGGTATTATTCCCTTAATTATAATAATTTCATTCATGTTATTTCATTAATTAAAATACAAAAACAACAAAAAAACAAATAAAAATTCCATTTACACCCAAGCTTTCGGTATCGCTTACAAGGAAACGACACAGAGCTGAGAGAGGTGTGTGTCTGTCTCCTCTCCACGTACAGTGTATCGCGTGTGACTTGTATTCGGAAAGGATGTGTTGGAACTTGTAAATAGTGACCAGATAACCACAGTGCACATGGATCATGACAAAACGTGACCAACAAGATGAGGGAGAAAGGAGGGAGGGAGAGAGAGAGGGGGAGAGAAGGAAGGAAAGAGGGAGAGAGAGAGGGGGAGGGAAAGAGGGAGAGAGGGAAAGAAGAAAGGACAGAGAGAGAGAGAAAGAGGGAGGGAAAGAGGGAGGGAGGGAGAGAAAGAAAGAGGAAAGGAGGGAGAGAAAGAGGAGGGAGGGAGAAAGAGGAAGAAGGAGGGAGAGAGAGAGAGAGAGAGAAACAGAACTAGAGCAAGACAGACAAAGAAAGAAAGAAAGAAAAAAAAGAGAGAGAGAAAAAAAGACATGAAAATAAGAAAGGGAGAAAGAGGTACCACCCCAAGACTGTGAACTCTCTCTCCCTCCTCACACCCAAACCCTTCTTACCCTCAAACATCACCCTCAAAGACCCCCCCCCACACTCCCACTCCCACCCACCACTCACCCCTACCCCTACCCCAGTCTCTCTCTCTCTCTCTCTCTCCCGAAGGCAAGTTAGACTCCCTATGCCTAATACAACTTAAAAATGTCCATCCATGTAGAGGGTTGTCATGTCTCTCTCGTCTCTCTCGCTCGTTGGCTCGCGTTCCATTCACCTTGAGATGTTCTGAAGTGACATCTTGAGACAGAAACTCCTTCCCTTTGGCGTAGAGAAAAAAAAAGGATAGAAAACTTTGATGTTGCAGTTTGTTATCATTATTAAGATAATTATTTTAATTACTGATATTATTAGTACTTTTATTATTATTATTATTATTATTATCATTATTATTATTATTATTGTTATCATCATCATTATTATTATTATTATTATTATTATTATTATTATTATTATTATTATTATTATTATTATTATTAATATTATTATTATTATTATTGCTATCGTTTCCATTACTATCATTATTGTTATTGTTATCAGCATTATTATTATTATTATTATTATTATTATTATTATTATTATTACTATTATCATTATCATTATTATTGTCCCTACTATTGCTATTATTATGATCATCTCTATACTAATATCTAAGACAAAGGGAAGGAGCTTTAATCCACGCAATCAGCCCATTCATTCCATTTCATTCTAAAGTTGGTCACCAGCCTGTTAGCTCGTTATGTAAACTTCCACAAAAAACAAACTCATGACGCCATGATGTTATATATATAAAAAAAAAGAAAAAGAAAAAAAAAAAGTTTTACATATCCTAGCTTGTGTCATATTACCATTTATTTCTTAGCCTTTATATATATATATATTTTCTTTCTCTCTTAAATAGGCCTAGAGAATTGGGTCTTGCTTCGGGTCGCCCCAAGGGATTTCGTGACCAATTTACTAATGAGACCTGTGATAGCATGATGATTTTTTTTTCTGTCCAAGACCACGCAGCTCTGCCGATCTGAATGTATATTTATTGTGATTAAAGACTTGTTTTTTGAGCTA